TCCTCTTGGGCCTCCCTGAGGCCGTCGTTGCGGCAGCCTGGGCGCTCTTGGGGCTACCTTGGGCCGTCGTGGGGTCCTCTGAAGCGCTCTTGGGGCTGACTTGGGCCGCCGAGAGCTGAACATGACCGAACACTGGGCGATTAGACCTGGGCCGGCACGGAAACGGAAGGAGCGCCTCAAACACACTAACCGAAGTTACTCACACCACCGTTCGTACTGGGAGCCTTGGCGTTGAGAGCTTGTTACGTCACCCCTCGCTCCTCCTCCTCCTCCTCCTCCTCCTCCTCTTCCTCCTCCTCCTCCTCTTCCTCCTCCTCCTCTTTCTCCTCCCCCTCCTCCTCCTCCTCCTCCACCTCCTCCTCCTCCTCCTCCTCCTCCACCTCCGCCTCCGCCTCCGCCATCTCCCTCCTCCTCCTCCTCCTCTCCTCCTCCGCCTCTCGCTCCTCCTCCCTCCTCCTCCTCCTCCCTCCTCATCATCATCATTCATCATCATCATCATCAATCATCATCATCATCATCATCATCATCATCATCTCATCATCATCATCATCATCATCATCATCATCATCATCATCATCATCATCATCATCATCATCATCATCATCATCATCATCATCATCATCATCACATCATCATCCATCATCATCATCACATCATCATCATCATCATCATCATCATCATTATCATCATCATCATCACCCCCCTCCTCCCCCTCCTCCTTTCCCTCCTCCTCCTCCTCCTCCCTCCTCTCCTCCTCTTCCTCCCCTCCTCCTTACCTCCCTCCCCTCCCTTGGCCTTGCCTTTCCCTCGTCCTCGTCCTCGTCTCCTCTCCTCCTCCTCCTCCTCCCTCCTCTACCTCCCTCCTCCTTCCCTTGCCTCGTCCTCGTCCTCGTCCTCGTCCTCGTTCCTCCTCCTCCCTCCTCCTCCCTCCTCCTCCTCCTCCTCCTCCTCCTCTCCCCCCCTCCTCCTCCTACCTCCCTGGTCCTCCCTTGGCCTCGTCCTCGTTTCCTTCTCTTCTTCCTCCTCTTCTTCTCCTCCTCCTCCTCCTCCTCCTCCTCCTCCTCCTCCTCCTCCTTCCTCCTCTCCTCCTCCTCCCTCCTCTCCTCCTCATCCTCCTCCTCCTCCTCCTCCACCTCCTCCTCCTCCTCCTCCTCCTCCTCCTCCTCCTCCTCCTCCTCCTCCTCCTCCTCCTCCACCTCTTCCTCTTCGGGCGCGCTGGGGAGCCTATTGGGGCCTCTTGGGCTCTCTTAGGGCCCTCGGGGCCCGCTTGGCCGTATTGGGGCCGTCTGGGGGCCATCTTGGGCCGTTTGGGGCCCCTCTGGGGCTCCTCAGGGGCCGTCTTGGGATGATCTCTGGGGCCTCTTAGGCTGTCTTGGGCCCGTCTGGGGGCCCTCTTGGACCGTTTTGGGCCCGTTTGGGGCGCCTCCGGGGCCGTCATGGGGCGATATTTGGGGCCTCTGGGCCGTCTTGGGCCCGTCTGGGGAAGAAGCGGGCCATGGGGGCCGCCCGGGGGCCGCTTCATTCCAGAAATTACGTTACCGAGGAACCCCACATACTTATATTATGGCTGGGGTAAAGATAGCTGAAGTGAAGCATGGGAGAATGATGTCGGTGGCCGTCGCCCCGCCGACACCGCAAGACGACCGTCACGGATAGCGGCCGCGCTCAGGGACCAACCTGCGCGCACGCCCTGCGGTGTCGAGAAAACGCCACGCCTGCTGCGCCCTGGACGACCGTCACGGACAGCGGCCGCGCTCAGGGACCACCCCGTGCGCACCCCCTACGGTGTCAAGAAAACGCCACGCCTGCTGTGCCCTGGACGACAGTCACGGATAGCGGCCGCGCTCAGGGACCACCCCGTGCGCACCCCTTGTGGTGCCGAGAAAACGCCACGCCTGCTGTGCCCTGGACGACCGTCACGGGTAGCGGCCGCGCTCAGGGACCACCCCGTGCGCACCCCTTTGTGGTGTCGAGAAAACGCTACGCCTACTGCGCCCTGGACGACCGTCACGGATAGCGGCCGCACTCAGGGACCAACCCGTGCTTCCGCTCGTGCTTCCGCCACGATCTCACGCCGCCGGCATGCCGCCGTTGTCTAAAGGGGGAATCCGCCCGACGCAGGGTTCTGAAGGTACGCCACCAAGCACTGCCTCTTGCCGTCGTCGTTCATCTCTGAGTACCTCGCGTAGAGTGTATTGGGCCACCAATTGTGAAGCTGGCGGCGGTACGCATTCAAAGCGGACTGCACCACTCCTCTGGCGCATCTGCGGGAGGTCTCCACGCTAACCTCGCCGCCCATCTGAACCATTGCAGTCTTAATCGCCGAACATGGAGGTGGCAGCGCGTCCACGGCGATTTTGGGAGGCATGGCTGCCGCGCAGGTCGGGCGGCGCTCTGAAGTAGGACTACAGGAGCGCGCCTGCTTGAGAGCGCAAGCGCGCCGAGTCGGCTTGAGCCAAGGTGTTTACAGTTCTTGACAAGATACGAGCTCCCACCCCCACCGCACCCCCTGTGGCGCCGAAGGAATGCCACGCCTGCCACGCCCTGGGAGCCTACAACGCATAGGGCCCCCACCCCCATCACACCCCCTGTGGCGGCCCGTCTGGGCCTCTCTACGCCGTCTTGGAGGCCGTTGAAGCCGTCTGCATACGTGCAGATGTTCGAACACGTCTTGGGGCCGTCTTGGGGGTATCTTGGGCCATCTTGGGGCGATCTTACGGGCCTCTGGCCTCTTGGGTCGTCTTGGAGGCATATTGGACCGTCTTGGAGGACGCTTGGTCTCTCATGGGCTGTCTTGAAGGTGCCTCAAGTTGACGAGGACTGTACGCGCTTACGCGAGGTCTACGCGGAGCTTACGCGGAGCTTACGTTGCCGCGCATTTCGGACCCTGGTGGCAAGAACTGGTTACGTCACCGCTCTCTGTTAGGAGCCTTGGTCTTATCAACTAGTTTACGTCACTGCTCGCTCTTGGGAGCCGCGGTGCTCAGGGTCCGTGAACGGTCCGTTAACAGGGAACTCTTTTCCCTATTAACGGTCCGTTAACAAGGAAAAAACGCGTCCGTCATCCGATTTTCCCTGTTAAGTCCATGTTAAGGGCTCCGCTAACAGGTAACAAAAATGCCCCAGCGCGCAACCCTGTTCCCGGAAAGGGCTGTGGCCCAGGGTTCTTCTCTTTTGGCAGATTTACCCCCCGGTTTCGACTTGACGGGGGCCGGCGAAATTATTCTGCGTAAATAACGAAGTAAAGTGCTGATTTTTATTTGAAAAAGTGCATTTCGTGCGTACCCGCTCGAGGAAAGAGTGCCCCCCATCTCGGATCCTCGATAAAAAACGGGGTCCGCAGACCCCCGTTTTCCATCGTTTTTTAAAAAGGTGCAAAGCATTTTTCGCAGAATCCTCAACAAATAACGGGGTCGCGCGCAAGAATTTCGAGGATGTTTCGACTAATTTACTTGTTTTGTGAGGATTTCTTAGAATATTGGCAGGATGTCTCGAGCGAAACGCTTGTTTTTCATAATTTGTTGAGGATGTCTCGAGCGAAACGCTGGTTTTGCAAAATTTGGGAATGTCTCGAGCGGGGGCTTCGCGGGGGGCCAGAATTCAGAGGATGTCTCAGGCGAAATGTTTGTTTTCGCGTCCCGCTTGCAGGAATTCCAAAGAAGTCTCGCGCGTGCCGCGTCCCGCGCGTAGGATTTTTGAGGATGTCCCGTAGCGCGTCCCCTTGGCACGTCCTACGGTGCGACCCTATGGCACGTCCCTTGGCACGTCGCCTGGCGCGTCCCTTGGGACGTTTCGCGGCGCGTCCTCCTGGCATGTCCCCCTGTCAATTAGCTCTGGGGCAGCTACTATGTGTTCAGGCAGCTCGAGCTTAAGATCCAGATCAGTTCGGTCAGGACTTGGATGCAAAGGAAGACTCGATCCACGACGCTATAGAGCACAACCGCGGCATGGCACATCGCAATTCAGCACGGTGCAGCACAGCACAGCCCTCGGCACGGCACATCAAGATCGATACAATCAGCATTGCACTTGCCCGTCACCCAATCAGGTGTCTTTGAAAACGCTGCCACGCGTTACATTTCTATATTCCTTTCCGGGTTCGTGGGTCGATCATGGTTTTCCTATGGAATTCAATCTGCAGGCGAGCTACGGAGCTGGAAAGCACACCGTTGAACAGGAAATGATCAGGAACTTCAGCCTACAGTATCCAGACGTCCGAGATCGGTCTAGCAGAGCTGCGACTGAAACACTATTCGAACTCTGCAATATTTTGCGAGAGCTGATGTTTGTTTTCCCTACCTAATTTGAGCTCTAGGCTAGCTACTCTGCGACCAGGCAACTATTTGCACTCTTCAAACTTTTAGAGGCTGGTTTTCTTTAGTGGATCCGATCTGTAGGCAGGCTACGGAGCTGGGAAGCACCGTTGGAAAGGAAAATATCACGAGCGCTGAGGTATCGAGACGTCTGGGATCGGTCTGCTACCGGAGCAACCGAAAACAGCAGTTGTGGCTGCAGCCGCAGCCGCGGCTGAAGGAAGAAACTATTACGATTTTCCCGGAAAGCGCGCAGGCCCAGGGTTCTCTTTTAGCTGTTTGCCCCAGAATCTAACGGGAAGGGGGCCGGCGGATTCTTTTGCGATAAATAACGAATGGGAAGAGGGCCGGCGAATAAAAATGTCAGGATGTCTCGAGCGAAACGCTTGTTTTTCAGAATTTGTTGAGGATGTTTCGAACGAAACGCTTGTTTTGTGTTATGGATTGTCCTCTCCAGGGGGCTAGAATTTAGAGGATCTCTCAAGTGAGATGCTTGTTTTCACGAGCCCAGATCATGAGGATGTCTCGAGCGAGACGCTTGGTTTCACGCCTCCAGGTTGCCCAGGCAGAGGTCTAGCGCCAGGATTTGTTGAGGATGTCTCGAGCGAGACGCTTGCTTTCACGCGTCCTCGTCGACCAGGCGGATGTCTAGCATGAGGATGTGTTTTTTTTTGCATCCGAATCAATCATGACTTCAGGCGCCCAGCCTTTGCCGGGACTTGCGCGAATACCAGCACTATCCGATGGACCACTACGGCAACCACGTCCACGGTATCGAGCCCGTGTGGTTGGGCCTCGAGGTATTCGATTACGGGAGAAATTCTCGGAAAAGTATCATCGAGGTGCTAAGGGCTCTCAAGTTGAATTATTTCCAGGCCGCCCCGGACATCAAAACCGAGGGGCCCCAGGACCATCCGAAGAACTGCGAGATGCAGATGCCGTCTCATGATTTTGAATACGTTTCACGTGGTCTTCCTGATTGTCTGTTATGGGATAGCGTTCAATGTGGGGGGACTATGGTCATTTATTTGGGCGTCCTGGTTTTCCTCCGGGCCCGCATCCAGAAGTGGCTTGCACGACTTTCTTCGGCTTCCAGCCCTGGTCCTGGTTCAGTTCGTCGGGAGGGTGTTGTTCCAGGTGGCCCTGTCCTTCCTGGTATCCCACTTCTCGTTGACGATTGTTGCAAAGTTTTTGATCATTATCCTGGTCCTGTTCCTGTTCAGCGGAAGGGTGCTGTTCTGGGTGGCCCTGGTCCTCTGGGTGACGCTCTTCTTGCTGACGTACGTTGTAAAGTTCATGAGAGCTCTGACTCTCCCCCATCGCGTACCCGAACTCCCAGGAGTGGTACGGCACCTCTTCAGCTATTCCCTCTGGGTGGTGCCAGGAACAAGAGGCCCGACAAGGAGGATGCCCTTACAGACCCCATCCTCCAGGGCCTCAAGCAGTTGCTCGAAAAGGCTGGTAACAATCCCTCGACCTCCCCGCCGCCAGGTGGCAAGGGGGGGGGCGAGCCCCGCACCTCACCCAAGAAAGCTCCCAAGGAGAAGAAAACTTTGGAAGATGCCTTACAGGACATCCTCGAAAGGCCAGGTTCAGGCCGTCCGGTGCTCGACAGACTGCGGTCCATCATCAAAGCCGCGGAGGGAGGGCACCTCACGCTGAACACCTTCAAGGCGAAGGGCAACGCCACGAAGCCGGCCGCCTCAACTGACAACGGCCGCAACAACAACGACACGGAGACGCCTCAGGGCCCTGGCAAGGGCCGCGGCGGCAACCAAAGCAACGGGAAGGGGAAGGACTCCGGAGGCCGGTCTGAGGCCAACGGGAAGTCAAGCACACGCAGCACTTCTTCCTCCAAGCCATCGGTGATGGTGTGTCAACGGGATTGGCCCACTTTCCACATCGCCGCGGACACGAAGCTGCTCAACAGCCTGCGGTCCGGCGTTATGCCCACGTCGGATGCGCGCACTGTGGCCGTGGCCGACGAAGCCGTGGCTAAAGAACTCTTGAATTTGTGGTCTATGCACATTGGCCAGAAGGACCCGGCCAACCTCGCCGGGCAGAGCTTCACGGTCGTCATCCCGTTCAAGACCATGGATGACGCGACCAAGTTCACTATCGAGGGGGTCGTCTGCACCCCCAGGTGGGTCACCTTTCGGGGGGGCAATCCTGTTGTCTACTCCCTGCGGCCCGCCTCCTGCTGCAAGATCGGGAACGGCGTCTCGGCGCAGGCCCCCAAGGCCCCCACTGTGGCGCAGCCGAAGGGCGTCCCCACGAAGCCCGAAGGCCTGACAGCGATCCGCGTGAACGTCTACGCCAAGTACCTGGCGGAACCGCTTTCGCACATCACGGCCAGCGCCGCCCTCAAGTGCGTTTGGCCGGCCGACCTCAAGTCGGTCCAGCAAGTGGACCTTCACCGTCAAACCTGACACGAAAGACAAGAACGCGATGAGCCTCATCGCCGAGGGTCCGGAGCAGGGCGTCGCTCAATTGCTGGCCCTCTCTGGAAAGGGCGGGGTGTTCTTCCAGCGCCTCGCACGTGACCGTGACGCCCGCCCACGCACTACGGTCGAGTGGGTCGTTCGCGAGGGTGCGGACACGGACAAGCAGTACCTCGAGCGGGTCTTGGATCGCAGTGCCCAAGATGGTGGCGGCCCCCTCGTTCACAGGATGGGGGGAAAGCACGATCTCGGCTATGAGAAGAAGACTCCGGAGAATGTTCGGCGTCAGCCGCCACTTGTGTGGCGCGTGCAGACACCGCGCTGGTGGGCCGCGACTCAGGTCTCGGATTTCCTCACAGCCAACATGTGGATCGACCCGGACGTGCAGGCCATGCTCGCACCGGGTTCGTGGAGGGTGAAGTGCACGGAGCGGCCCTCCGATACGTGCAGCTACATCTACCTCCTGGAAGGCAAGGACAAGGTCAAGGTCACACCAGCTACTCGCAAGATGGCCACCTCGACCCTGGGCGTTTTCACCACGTCTCTTCGACCTGGCCTCCCATGGCGGCCGCAAGATGACGATGACGTATCACCAGCACCTGCCACAGGCAAGGGCACCGACGCCATGGACGTCGACGACAAAGGCGCCAAAGGCGAAAAAGAAAAGGGCGGCGAGCCGGCGGCCGAGCCTGGTGGGACGCGGCGGCAGGAGGATCCTCCAGCCGGCGCCAGACCCCCCAAGATTGCGAAGAAGGATCAGTGGAAAATCAATGATTCCAAGTGCATCCTAGATAAGGCCATCGTGCAGGAAGCGGGCGGGGCCGGCGCGTGCGGGTACTGCGCCTGCGTGCTCGGCGGCAGGCTCCTCAGGGACAGCACCTTCTCGGACCTCGACGTCGTGCGCACAGAGGCGCTGGCGCTCAGGGTCCAGACGGCCCAGTTCATGGGCGCCGACGAAGACTGGGCGGGGTTCTGGGCGGCCGACCCGGATAACCTCGACCACACGGGCTCCACCTTCGCCGAGTACCTCGCCAAGATGAAGGTCTCGACGTTCTGGACGGACGAGATGCAGCTCAGGGGCGTGGCTGCGCGCATGAAGCGGTGCGTCACGACCATCTACAAAGATTCTGCTGGGAAGTGGGCGCGCCGGTCCTTCGGTGCGGACTACAAATCAAGAGGTTGGATTGTTCTGATGCTCCAGGACGGGCACTTCCAGACGGTCCGGCCCGACAAGCCTTGGCCGGCGGAGCTGATCCGCGACAAGGGCGGCTCGTTCCCACGAGGGCCGGCCGGCGGAGGTCGAGCCTTGAGCTGGCTTTCTGAATCTGATCGCGCTGATGAGCTCTCGTGGCTGTCAGCTTCACCTGCAGGCGAGGCCCCCCGGAGGGCTGCTTCGGCCGCCGCGGTTCCGGCGGCCACACGAGCACGAGCGCCGACTCCAGCGAGGGCGGCTACGGCTACGTCGTCGCGGAGAGCCAGGGCTTCTTCGGCTCGCGCACCTAGCACATCTGCTCCGCAGAGGGCGCCTACGGCGGTTTCCTCCCCGGCGGCTGCGTCGAGGAGAGCTGCCCGGGCATCTTCAACACGTTCGGCGGCGACTCCGAGGACGGGGTCATCTTCGGCTTCGAGGGCGGCGTCTTCTTCTTCACGGAGGCCGCTCGGTTCTTCTTCACAGCCTTCTGCTCCGCGGAGGGCAAGGCCGGTCTCGGCAAGGGCCGCGACAGCATCGCAGAGGACACGTCCTGCTTCTTCGAAGCGTCCGCGGAGCGCGTCTGCTTCAACGAGTGGCCGTGCGGCTGCTGGCGCACCCCCGCCGGCCTCCCAGGGCCCGGCTATCGACTTCGAGACCTACCTCCTGTCCTTCCGCCACAACTTCTCGCGCGCGGAGCGGCAGGTGTCCGACGTCGACGCCGCCTTCTTCAAAGACACTGTCTCCTCGCACCTCGACTGGCTCACCGCCCACGCCGGCGCCACGGGGAAGGAGGTGGAGACGCAGCGACGACAGTTCGAAGGGACTGTCAAGGACAAGTGCGAGCAGTACTACCTGGCCGGCGACGTGTTCGCCTGCCCCTGCGGCTGGCGGGTCACAGGCCTGCCCGGGAAGGCAGCGGAACACTTCCAGGCCGCCGAGAGACACTGGGCTGGATGCCAGCCGGGGTCCAGATGGACCCCCGAGAACACGCGTCAGATCAGGCGACGCCTCGACCACAGCCGGATCGCGGCAGTGAAGGTCCGAGAAGCGAAGGCTTGGAACCTCTACGAGAAGCGGCGCGCTGCCCTCCCGGCGCGCCTCCGCAACATCACCCACGAGCTCAACCCGGACACGGCGACCAAGAGCAAGATCGGACCCAACATGAGGCTTGTGTACGCCTGCAAGCACTGCAGCTCCTGCTTGCGCACCTCGGCCGCGTTCTGGTCACCCTGTCGGGGCGCGCCCAAGGACAAACGTATGGCCTCCCTTGACTACAAGGCAGAAGTCCGCGACGTCTTTGTCAAGAACAAGATGGTAGACAAGAGGACCACGTACACCAACATTCGGGACAGTCCGTCCTTCCAGGAGCAGAAAGACGCCAGCTGGGGGTACTACAAGCCACGTGCCCCGGGCATCATCCACAAGGCCCGGTCGGCTGGTCGGGCTCTGGTGGCCCCTTGAACGGCATGGCGGCCTCTCCCGCTGCGCGGCCAGCGCATTGGAGAGGCCGCCAACCCAGGGCCGCGGCGGACGCGGCGGAAGAAGCACATGGAGCAGCAGGTGCCTGCCGCGGGCGGCCTGCGAGTCTGGTGCTGCAACACCAATGGGCTCACGGATAAGAAAGGCAAGGGCAAATGGGGCATGATCCGGGGACAGCTGGAGGCTACCCACGCTCATGTCGGCTGCATCGTTGACACCAACCTTGACGAGGCACGCACAAAGAGTTTCGAGAAGCTGGTTGCGACAGTTTTTCCTTCATTTCTTGCTGTGCATGCGCCCTCGGATGGCCGCCGGGGCGGTGTGGCATTGTTTGGACCTGATGAGTTGTGGAAGGATCCGTGGATGTGGTCCTCCGACTTTGCGGGCCGGGTGGTCTCGGGAATCTTGCACGTCAACGGCTCTGACATGATCATCATCGGCACGTACATGCACGTCAAAGACCCGCACGCTCGCAGGAAGCTGGCGGACGCTATCGCGGAGCGAGTGGCCGCTTCCGACTTGCCGGCCCTTGTGGTCGGGGACTGCAACGCGGAGCCGTACGACGGTGAGCTCTCGCCGTGGCTTGGCCTCCTGGACTATGCTCACGAGAATTCTACTTTTTCTACACCCACGGGGGCAGGATGATCGACCTCGCCATGGTCAGGCAACTTGCCGTCGACTCCGTCTCCCCGGACACCAACATCAGCGACCATGCCGCCGTGGTGGTGCAGGTCCAGCTCGAGCCCCAGGCCGTCGCGCAGACGATCCGGAACAACCACCCTCTGGACATCCCCGACGACTGGGAGGAGGAATGGCGATCCGCAGCTGCATCCAAAGCAGCGGCCTGGGAGCGAGCACTTCGAGGAAATGACGTCGACCAGTTATGAGCGATATGGTGCGATTGCCTGGAGGCTTCCTGCGGGGTCCCAGAAGATCAGCGTGCACGGCATCTTGGCATTGTTCTGAAGAGGTGGCAGAGGACGTTCCGGGGCGCCCACGGGCACCGGATGTGTGTAGTGGAGCGACGACTACACCGAGTCCTGCGCCGCACCACCGAGCAGCAATTCAAAGACAGGGCGGGGCAGGATCACCCTGACCTTAGCATCGAGCGGAGCCTCCAGAGCCTCATCGCCGACGGGGTTCTAGACCAGGACACCGACCTCCTCGACTACCCGGCGCTCGGGAACACCTTGAAGGCCATGCTGGGCAAGATGGGTAAGGCGAGCGCCGACGAGCGCATCAAGCAGTGGCGCGCGCGGGCACAGGGTGGCAATCTCAAGGCCATCTTCGACTACGTCAAGAACAAGCCCTTCACTGCCGCTCCTGCGGTATCGGCGGGAGGACCCGGGCCGCAGACGCATCCGACCGCGGACCCTATACCCGGTTGGTGGCCGAGGCTGTCCGGCAGTACAACGCCAAGCAGCACGAGAGGCTGGGCGACTGGCGCCAGAACAGGTACTTCGAGATGGTCCGCGGCTCGATCGAGGCTCTGCCGGCGCCCTCGGCGGAGTGGGCATTCGGCGACGACCTGGGGCTCCTCCGCGGCGCCTTGTGGGCGATCGCTGGCACCGCCAGCGGCCCCGGCGACCTCGAGGCGGGGTTGCTCGCCAAAGCACCCCTGGATGCCATCGCCTCGCTCGGCGCCCTGGGGGACGCCGTCCGGGCCAGCGGCAAGTGGCCCGACGCCCTCCGCACAGCCCTAACCACGATGATTCCCAAGGTTCGTGATGGCGTACTCACAGAGGATCTGCGGCCCATCACAGTCGGCGCCGCCGTCTTCAGGGCTTTCCAGAAAGTGATGATTGGACGGTACAAAAGCTGGGCTGAAGCTGAGCAGCCCACCAATGCGATCCACAACCTGCTGACCATGGATATGGAGATAGAGGCCGCCCGGGCTTCTGGCACACCATTCATTGCTCGGCAGTCTGACCTGTCGAACTGCTTCACCAGGCTGCAACCGGAGCTGGCCCACCGCCTCGCGATGGCCTTCGGCATGCACGAAGTGGACAGCAGCTTCTTGTTCTTGTCGGCCGTCGGCACTTCCGCGGTCGTGAAGGTCGGGGGGTACGCCTCAGATCCTATCTGCTCAGAGCGTGGTATGCCGCAAGGGTACCCTGCGTCGCCGCTGGGCGCCGCCCTCTACGCCGGGGCCCATGCCCGCCGGCTGGCCGCCCTGCACAATCCAGATACGCTCTCGTTCCGCACGTACGTGGACGACAGGACCCTCACCGCCAGGGACATCGACACCGTGGCCGCCATCGAGGGGTCCCTCAAGGAGCTGAACATCGCGAGTGGCCAGAAGGAGGACCCCAGCAATTGGAGGAGTGGGCTGGCTTCAACCTGCCGCCGCACCTCCTGAAGGAGCGCGAGAGGGCTGGCAAGCCTCTCCGGGGACACTTGGACCTCCTCGGGGTTCGCTTTGACCCCACAAGCACGGCTCCGCCTTCGGAGGCCCCCCGGGCTGCCCGGCGCAGGGAGGAGCTTTTCAACCGCTTGGACAGGATCCGCCGCGTGTGCGGAGGAACCCAGCTGGCCGTCAACCTGGTCTTCAGAATCGTCCTCTCCACCATGAGCCTCCTTCGCTGGGATGGGCCGTGGTGCTCCATGAAGGCAGCGGACGTCAGCGCCATGCGCACCCGCGTAGAGCAGGCCCTCTTCACCAGGCAGAGGCACGCCACCAGGCGGCACCGAGGCGCCGCCTGGTGCCTCCTCGACAAGGGTTGGAAGATCGAGCCCATGGGCGTCATTTTCTCCAGCTTCATCAGCTTCTTGCGAAGCGCCAGAAATGGCCCCCTCCAGCCGCTCGTCCGCCGGGCGTGGAGGTCCATGGCAGGGGTGCCGCCGCTCCTCGAGAATTGGATCGGCCGGATGCGCGCCGTCTTCGACGACATGGGCTGGCACTGCGCCACCAACGACCCGTACGAGCCGACCTTCGCAGGGGCACCGTTCCCCATCGGTTTATTCAAAGGCAAGCTGGAACACTACGTCCGCGAGGCGTGGCGCAGCTTCATGATGAGGGACGCTAGCACCACCACGGTTCGCAAAGAGCCAGTGGACCTGCCGAGCCTGGATGTCAAGACACTCCGGGACTTCGTAAACAAGCAGTCCAAGTTGCAACGCACATGGGCATGGCGGTGTGTGGTCGGGGCTGAGCCTAGCCCGGATCGCCTTCATCATATACATTCTGATGTACCTCATGACTGTGAGGAGTGTGGCGTCCCAGCCACCACTCGACACCTCCTGTGGGAGTGCAAGAACACACAAGAGCAGCGGGCCCGGACAAGAATCCACCCGCACATTTTGCCAAATATGGTGCCTGACGTCGATCGGGCAGCCTTACTACTCAATGGGTGGTTTCGTGCAATCTGGGATCCTCCAGCGGGTGTTTCTCAAGCTGATTGGGGTGAACACCATCATCATATTCGTCATCCTTCTTCTCGCATCCTCAGGTACAAAATGCAGATCCTGCAGCCGTACTACAACATCCTGGCAGGCCGCTGCGCCTTCTAGCTCCCGCTCGAGTGGACCAAGGCCAGAATCAGCCCGGCTCACGCGCAGAAGGAGCAGCACAATCCGATGCACAGTCTCTTTGAGGTTCCGTAGGCATGCCGTACAAATATCTATCGAATTCTCACCTGCGAAAACTCCACTTGCACTTCTCAGTGAAATTGATTGTTTTCGATATATGCCCGGTGTGCATGTTGACCGAGCAGGACGCGTTGAATGTCCAGGGCGCCCGTGGGTAGCAATCCTTGCAATGCGACACGACACACCACTGGTCTTCACTGCCAGACGTGCCCCCAGGATGGCACCTGCCGTCCACAAAAGGCAAATAATCAGAGCCATTCGATTCGTTTGTCTCTTCGTCGAACTTCAGCTCGCGACGAGGAACGCCGCTGGCGACGATCACGTGCTTCAGGACCTGCTCGGTATTGTTCGACTCCAGCGACATCTTCTTCAACTTCGGATCCAACACTGGGTCGTTTGTAACCGCGAGCATGGACAGATGGGTTGCACCCAGAGTTTTCTCAAGGTACTTGCGCGGGAGTAACATGACCTTGTCCTGAAGACCACCCCACCAATCGCAATGCTTGAAAGTGACCTCCGTGATATTCAGAAGCTTCTCTGGCACCACCGGTCGCAACGCAAGAGTGTTGTCTCGAACCTTCAACACGACATCGTATCGGCCACCTGTGGACTTCTCGTGCTGTTGAATGAGATCGACACAATCCCTTTGATGTCTCATCTGGCTCATCACGTTGGCAATGTGCTTCGCCCTGGCTGAATGGTTAGCGTAATTATCACCCGGGTGCTTGTCCTTGTACAGCATTGGCCACCTATCCAGTACGACGTTTTCGCCCTTGTGGGGATCAAACCTGCCGCCCCTGAAGTAAGGTGCGAATGCCTCCTTCACTTCTTCCACTGAATAGGCAGTGCTGCCGCATCCCTCGCCCATGACGTTCGTCTCCTGGTTATTGAAAACTGCACCACCAAACTCAAGAAACAAGAAAAAATCAACGTTGGTGAAATTGGCGATGGGTTCCGCGATGTTTCGAATTTTGCTGTCGATCTCCAGGCGGGACGTTTGGCCCAATACGCACACCGCGACTCCAAGGCTGGAAGCTTCTGCACTGACCGTTCCTGTGAACACGACACCCCCTTTGGGGCGACCGCTCAGCGCAACGATGGTCCCCGCGATGCCCAGGATGGTAGCCGCCAAAACGGCGGCAGTGCGTCTCTCGCAGTGCTGCTGTCTCTGGCGATCTAGCGGCTCAGTGTGAGCGCCGAGTCTCTGCGCGAACAGCAGATCTTGCTCCTCAGGCGAGGGCACCGCTTCGGGATCACCTCCGCTCGCGATGTTGCTGGCGGCTGCCCCGGACATGGCCTCCACAAAGCGAGGAGGAGGAGGAGGAGGAGGAGGAGGAGGAGGAGGAGGAGGGAGGAGGAGGAGGACGCATGGACGCCAACGTGGCGAAACGGCCGCCGAACTCCACCCGGGTGCCGTCGGGCGTCGGCGCCCTCTTCGTGCTCGGCGCGCCGCTCGCTGGCCCGGGCGCGCCCGAGCTCGAGGCCGGGCTTGAGCCAAGAGGCTACGGACTAGCACGAGGATGTGTTGAGGAAGTCTCGATCGAGACGCTTGTTTGGACGTGTCCAGGCTGCCCAGGCGGATGCCTAGCACGAGGATGTGTTGAGAATGTCTCGAGAGATACGCCTGTTTTCACGCGTCCAGGTCGAGACGCTTGCCTTCACGTGTACAGGTCGCACAGGCGGATGTCTAGAATGAGGAGGTGTTGAAAACGTCTCGAGCGAAACGCTTGTTTTCACGTGCCCAGGTCACCCAGGCGGACGTCTCACATGGAGATGTGTTGAGGATGTCTCGAGCGAGTCGCTTGTTTTCACGCGTCCAGTTCGCCAAGCGGATGTCTAGCATGAGAATGTGTTGAGGATGTGTTGAGCAAAACGCTTGCTTTCACGTGTCCAGGTCGCTCAGGCGAATGTCTAAAGATCCAGATCAGTTCGGTCAGGACTCGGATGCAAAGGAGGACTCGATCCACGTGGCTGTAGAGCACACTCGCGGCATGGCACATCGCAATTCACCACGGCGCAGCACAGCAGAGCCCTCGGCACGGTACATCAAGATCGATACACTCAGCATTGCGACCTGGCACGTTCCTTGGCACGTTCCGTGGGGCGTCCCTTGGCGAGTTCCCCTGGCACGTCGCGTGGCGCGTCCCCTGGCACATCCCGTGGCACATCCGTTGGCACGTTCCGTAGCGCGTCCCCTTGGCACGTCCCGCTGTGCGACCCCATGGCACGTCCCCTGGCACGTCGCCTGGTGCGTCCCTTGGGACGTTTCGCGGCGCGTCCTCCTGGCAGGTCCCCCTGTCAATTGGCGCTGGGGCAGCTACTATGTGTTCAGGCAGCTCGAGCGTAAGATCCAGATCAGTTTGGTCAGGACTCGGATGCAAAGGAGGACTCGATCCACGTGGCTATAGAGCACACTCGCGGCATGGCACATCGCAATTCATCACGGCGCAGCACAGCAGAGCCCTCGGCAGGGGACATCAAGATCGATACACTCAGCATTGCATTTGCCCGTCACCCAATCAAGTGTCTTTGAAAACGCTGCCATGCCTTACATTTCTATATTCCTTTCCGGGTTCGTGGGTCGATCATTTTTCCTGGAAAGGGCGTGGGCCCAAGGTTCTCTTTTAGCCTTTTGCCCCCGGAATCGACGGGAAGAAGGCCAGCGGAATTATTCTGCGATAAATTACATGCGGGAAGAGGGCCAGCGGAATTATGTTTGAGGATGTCCCTAGCGAAACGCTTGTTTTTCAAAATGTGTTGAGGATGTCTCGAGCGAAACGCTGGTTTTGCAGAGTTGGGGATGTCTCGAGCGAAACGCTTGTTGTCAGAATTTGTTGAGGATGTCTCGAGCGAAACGCTGGTTTTGCAGAGCCGACCGCAACGCGGAAAAGCTACCCGCGCGCAGGAATTCAGAGGATGTCTCGCGCGTGCCGCGTCCCGCGCGCAGGATGTTCGAGGATGTCTCGACTAATTCGTTTGTTTTGCCAGAATTTCCTTGAGTTTTGGCAGGATGTCTCGAGCGAAATGCTTGTCTTTCATAATTTGTTGAAGACGTTTCGAGCGAAACGCTGGTTTTGCAAAATTGGTGGTGTCTCGAGCGGGGGCCTCGTGGGGGGCCTCGTGGAGGTCCAGAATTCAGAGAATGTCTCAGGCGAAATGCTTGTTTTCACGTCCCGCTCGCAAGAATTCCGAGGATGTCTCGCGCGTGCCGCGTCCCGCGCGCAGGAATTCTGAGGATGTTGGCAGGATGTCTCGAGCGAAACGCTTGTCCCCAGCACGTTCCGTGGCGCGTCCCCTTTTGGCACGTCCCGCGGTGCGTCCCCATGGCACGTCCCTTGGCACGTCGCTTGGCGGGTCCCTTGAGACGTTCCGCGTCGCGTCCTCCTGGCGTGTCCCCTTGTCAATTAGCTCTGGGGCAGCTACTATGTGTTCAGGCAGCTCGAGCTTAAGATCCAGATCAGTTCGGTCAGGACTCGGATGCAAAGGAGGATTCGATCCACGAGGCTATAGAGCACAATCGCGGCATGGCACATCGCAATTCACCACGGCGCAGCACAGCACAGATTTCGGCACGGTACATGAAGATCGATACACTCAGCATTGTAAATTGGCACGTTCCGTGGGGCGTCCCTTGGCGAGTCCCCCTGGCACGTCGCGCGGCGCGTCCCCTGGCACGTCCCGTGGCACGTCCATTGGCACGTTCCGTGGCGCGCCCCCTTGGCACGTCCCGCGGTGCGTCCCCGTGGCACGTCCCCTGGCACGTCGCCTGGCGCGTCCCTTGGGACGTTCCGCGGCGCGTCCTCCTGGCATGTCCCTTTGTCAATCAGCTCTGGGGCAGCTACTATGTGCTCAGGCAGCTCGAGCTTAAGATCCAGATCAGTTCGGACGGGACCAGGATGCAAAGGAGAACTCGATCCACAACGCTATAGAGCACAATCGCTGCATGGCATATCGCGATCCAGCACGGCGCAGCACAGAACAGCTCTCGACGCGGTATATCAAGATCGATACATACAGCATTGCATTCGCCCGTTGCCCAATCAGGTGTCTTTGAAACGTTGCCATGCCTTACATTTCTATATTCCTTTCCGGGTTCGTGGTTCGATCATGTTCCCTTGTTAAGCACCCGATGCTCCCTTTTAAGTTAACAAGGAAAAGGAAGGGTTTTCCCTGTTAAGCACCCGATGTTCCCTGTTAAGGGCTCCGTTAATAAAGAAAAACATGCCCGAGCGAAAAACATCCCTGTTAAGGGCTCCGTTACCACGGAAAAAGGCTATTAGCTCCTGGGGCCCCGGATGCCATCCCCCTCTGCACTCCCCCTAGTTTCATTCCTTCCGACTAACGGATCGCACGCTACGCGCGCTTTCCGCCATCTGGGGCCGACGAGGCCAACCCCCTCGCACTCCCCCTTGATATTTCTCCCAAGGGAAGTCTCGAGTGAAACGCTTGTTGTCAGAATTTGTTGAGGATGTCTCGAGCGAAACGCTGGTTTTGCAGAGCCGACCGCGACGCGGAAAAGCGCCCCGCGCGCATGAGTTCCGAGGATGTCTCGCGCGTGCCGCGTCCCGCGCGCAGGATGTTCGAGGATGTCTCGACTAATTATTAATTCGTTTGGTTTGCCAGGAATTCCTTGAGTTTTGGCAGGATGTCTCGAGCGAAATGCTTTTCTTTCATAGTTTGTTGAAGACATTTCGAGCGAAACGCTGGTTTTGCAAAATTGGGGGATGTCTCGAGCGGGGTCCTCGTGGGGAGCCTCGTGGGGGTCCAGAATTCAAAGGATGTCTCAGGCGAAATGCTTGTTTTCACGTCCCGTTCGCAAGAATTCCGAGGATGTCTCGCGCGTGCCGCGTCCCGCGCGCAGGAATTCTGAGGATGTTGGCAGGATGCCTCGAGCGAAACGCTTGTCCCCAGCACGTTCCGTAGCGCGTCCCCTTGGCACGTCCCGCGGTGCGTCCCCATGGCACGTCCCTTGGCACGTCGCTTGGCGGGTCCCTTGAGACGTTCCGTGTCGCGTCCTCCTGGCATGTCCCCTTGTTAATTAGCCCTGGGGCAGCTACTATGTGTTCAGACAGCTCGAGTTTAAGATCCAGATCAGTTCGGTCAGGACTCGGATGCAAAGGAGGACTCGATCCACGAGGCTATAGAGCACAATCGCGGCATGGCACATCGCAATTCAGCACGGCGCAGCACAGCACAGGTTTCGGCACGGTACATCAAGATCGATACACTCAACATTGCAACTTGGCACGTTCCTTGGCACGTTCCGTGGGGCGTCCCTTGGCGAGTCCCCCTGGCACGTCGCGCGGCGCGTCCCCTGGCACGTCCCGTGGCACGTCTATTGGCACGTTCCGTAGCGCGTCCCCTTGGCACGTCCCGCGGTGCGTCCCCATGGCACGTCCCCTGGCACGTCGCCTGGCACGTCCCTTGAGACGTTCCGCGGCGCGTCCTCCTGGCATGTTCCCCTGTCCATTAGCTCTGGGGCAGCTACTATGTGCTCAGGCAGCTCGAGCTGAAGAACCAGATCAGTTCGGACGGGACCCGGATGCAAAGGAGAACTCGATCCACAACACTATAGAGCAAAATCGCGGCATGGCATATCGCGATCCAGCACGGCGCAGCGCAGCACAGCTCTCGACGCGGTATATCAAGATCGATACATTCAGCATTGCATTCGCCCGTTGCCCAATCAGGTGTCTTTGAAACGTTGCCATGCCTTACATTTCTATATTCCTTTCCGGGTTCGTGGTTCGATCATGTTCCCTTGTTAAGCACCCGATGCTCCCTTTTAAGTTAACAAGGAAAAGGAAGGGTTTTCCCTGTTAAGCACCCGATGTTCCCTGTTAAGGGCTCCGTTAATAAAGAAAAGCATGCCCGAGCGAAAAACATCCCTGTTAAGGGCTCCGTTACCACGGAAAAAGGCTATTAGCTCCTGGGGCCCCGGATGCCATCCCCCTCTGCACTCCCCCTAGTTTCATTCCTTCCGACTAACGGATCGCACGCTACGCGCTCTTTCCGCCATCTGGGGCCGACGAGGCCAACCCCCTCGCACTCCCCCTTGATATTTCTCCCAAGGGAAGTCTCGAGTGAAACGCTTGTTGTCAGAATTTGTTGAGGATGTCTCGAGCGAAACGCTGGTTTTGCAGAGCCGACCGCGACGCGGAAAAGCGCCCCGCGCGCAGGAATTCCGAGGATGTCTCGCGCGTGCCGCGTCCCGCGCGCAGGATGTTCGAGGATGTCTCGACTAATTCGTTTGGTTTGCCAGGATTTCCTTGAGTTTTGGCAGGATGTCTCGAGCGAAATGCTTGTCTTTCATAGTTTGTTGAAGACGTTGCGAGCGAAACGCTGGTTTTGCAAAATTGGGGGATGTCTCGAGCGGGGGCCTCGTGGGGAGCCTCGTGGGGGTCCAGAATTCAAAGGATGTCTCAGGCGAAATGCTTGTTTTCACGTCCCGTTCGCAAGAATTCCGAGGATGTCTCGCGCGTGCCGCGTCCCGCGCGCAGGAATTCTGAGG